TGTGCCCAATTCTCTGGGGAAAAGATCACCGGATATAGGCGAAACCAGCCCGAATTTCTTTTTTTGGACGAAGTTTTTCTTGGTTTCCTTTAAAATTTCCCCTGTGTTCTCGGATTGTTTCCGGTTGGATCCCCAATTGTTGGTGCAGAAATCCCATGATGATGCTATGACCCAATTCATGTCATTTCTTCAAATCCAGTTTCATCAAGTTCCATAAAAGAGAAGAACATGTTCATCCACTAGCGCACTTGTTGAGTGGAACCATTTTTTCTGGATCTCAGGTTCATTTAGTAAATTTAGTTTTCGCACCGTTTTGCTCCACTTGCGGGTGCATCCCACTTAGTAAACGGGTTGTACCCCCAGTTATATCAGAGATCTGATCCGTGGGGCCCGCACCAAGCACCGAGGCTTTTGCCTTTGCTTTGGTCCTGGCCAGTGCCTTCCGAGCGCTCAGGCTGCTGCGAAACGCATCGTCTGCTGGACGAGGACGGAGAACCAACGACCATCGCAACGGGAGGACCTGGATCATACGAACTGCAATGGGATTTCGATGGAGGAAAAATGTATGGTACCCTCTGGTAAACTAACGGTTTGCTATTGAAAATGGCCATAGAAATAGTTGGTTTGGCCATTTTAAAGGGTGATTTTCCATAGTTATGTAAACGTTTACCAGAGGCTACATCATGGTACCTGGAACGTGTCGGTTGCCTGTAAGTTAATGGTCCACAACTTGAGCTAGTGACCATTTCTTGGAGGTTACCCTCCCCACAAGACTCCGTTGTGACACCAAAAATGGTGCACTTTGTGACGCACCAAAAAAGTGGTACACTATGCTTTCGAGGTATGTATGACAATACAGCCATATTATAGCAATATAATGCAATATATATATAGCTACTATAGCTCATATACATACATATATATATATACATACATACATACATTATATATATATAGTCATCCTAACATAAATGGCAAAGATATATTTTTAAAAACCATGCTACAATGGCAAATCATTGGTAACAATTCTTGATACCCCGTTTTTTGCGGCTAAATGGTCTATCATCAGCTAACCAGTGGTTAGTGGTGGTTAGTGGGGAGCTAAGGGGAGCCGGTTGGGAGCTACAATCAGAGTTTCCCAGCAAAATGTACGATAAAAGCTGGGAAACTACATACATTCTTTGGGAAACTACCGGTTGATAAAAGGCTAGTAATGATTATCCCAAGGCTAGTTTCTCATAGCTCTGGGAAGACCGGTTGGGCTTCAGAGCTGGTGAAGGGTGTCTGAACGTCGAATGCCGATGCAAGACTTCAGGATGACTACATCATCTTATGACTACACCCATTTTTGGTGCGAAACCCGGTGGCCATAAACCCACAAAACCTATGGACAAATACCCTTGATGATGATTGGCTATGAAATAGGGGATTATACTACCTGGTTTAATTGGGATTATGATCCATGGCAGGGAAACTGATTAACCAACTAGTACTCGTATGATGTGAAAACGTCATATTTTTAATGCCTCGCGCGTGCCTTTGGCCCCTACGTTTCGACATAAAAAGAAAAAAACAAGTTGTTCGTGAATCACCGCCATCAATTGGGGTACTTCCGTTTTGAGACAAACCCACATGCTGTTGGTTTATATATATATAACTGATATCAATGATATCAATGATATATCAATGATATCAATATCCAACTAGTCTCCATGATTCCTATCCCATTCTATCTTCATCACTTGCTTTCCCCCTTGATAAAAAACACTTGGAGGCGGCTTCAGTGGTGGAGAAACTGAAAGGCCTGGAATGTCAAGCAGCGCCTGGATGTTTGGTCTGGCAATGCCCCGGCTGCCACTGGGCCACGTTGCGATGTGGCGTGGGGTGAACTTGGGTTCCCAGATTCTGATGCGACAGCTGTGGCCGACCCAGTAGATGTTCCATCTACCAGGCTTCATACTTGGGGGGTGAAAAGGGACTTGCAACGTCCGACTATCAACATCTTCCCGAAAATTTTGAGCAGTGATATCCCCCATGTTCAGACACACCCATTGATGCGTTGACTTCACATTTCGAAGACTTTGGATTTGTTGAAAAAAAGGCGTCCCTTGGAAAAAAACACAACAAGACGGTGCCTAAAACCAGGTTAGTTGCAGGATGCTGCAGGCTGCAGGTGTTCACTGTAGTTTTGCATGGCTAAAATGAACTGGAGAATCTGCAAATAGGCAAGTGATGTACCCACTGAAAGTGTGGGCTTCCCATCAACAGAGGTTGAATCTCTTCAAGGGTATGAAGTCCACAAGGGGATTCTCAAGTTTTGCATGATCAGTGGCCAATTGACTTCCTGTAGTTTGATGGTTACAATGTTTACAGTACAGAGTTTGCCAGGAGTCGAAAGATATGTCACACATCCACAAGTTGCCATGGGTTTTCGTTCGGCTTTCAGATTACTGGATCAAGATTTGGAATCGTGTTATATTTGTGTTTTTCTTTGATACTACTTAAATTGAATAGAACTAAAGTATACTAAAGTACTAAAGGATTAAATATGTTTAAATCCTGGCTTTGGGGTTGAACGCCCAGAGTAGCTATGAGTCGTTGTTCTTACCACGTGACGCTCCGTGCTAAGGCAAGTTAAAAGGAGTACCAGGGGATCGCGATTTGTTCAATGCTTCTCTGGGTATTTGCGGACGATGTGCCGCGTGGGACATGCTCATGTAGGAGATGAGCCGGGCCGCTGCCTCGAAACCGACTCCAAGACTATGATTTTTTTCATCCAAGCTTCGGGGTTGAAGACAGATCCAAAAAAGGCAAAGCTGAAGTTGAATGAAATTTGTTTAGCAAGATATCAATTTTGTATAATTTACTATAATTTACTAATGACTTTAGGGGGGTGATTAGTAGCTAACAGAAATAGTCATCACCAGAAATTGTGCCGGTGGAAAGCGGATCTTTCTAGGTAGAGCCATGTAGAGCCCATACTACCCAAGAGCCCGTGCGATACTCAAGCTTATTGGTCACATGGTATGTTTTATCCTTTGACCATCGACCTCAATGGAAAATTTGGTAAGCATAGTTCTCCAAGACTACCCTGACAGGCTTCTATAGTAATGTAGTTATTTATACCCATATTAGCTCACCATGGTGCTGGTATATTTACCGCACCATGACTGGGTGATTTTCTTCGGGCATCGGATTCCCAAGGACCCGGCCATGTCTGCACATGCTTTCGGCGGTTTAACCGAAGAGTTGGGGGATGGAATCATATGTTGTATATTATATAAATATACAATTATACATATGTATATATATACACATATGCATCTATTTGAAGCCAGATCGCAAAAGCTCCCATTTGCAGATGATTTTTGCACTGAAACATGTTCTGAAACCTTCCCATAAATGGAACATTCCCTATAAAGTACGGCAATTGAAAATAGACATAAATACAGAAAAAAAACACCCCAATGTTAGTAAAGCACTAGGTCTACCATCCCAAAAAAATAGATACTATTTTTGTGTGTGGTACAAATCAAAATATGGATGGTTTCTGGCATTGCTTTACTAACATTATATATGTATTGCCCGTTTCAACAGATCTCGACGTTGAACTCCGCCTTAACAACCCCCTTGCATTTGTCCACCACGTCAACGACACCTCAGCGTGCGGACGTGAGTCTGCACGGTTAATGGAGAAACTGTAGCCCCACATGACAACCAGTGGGTGAGGTCTATTCTGCATTTGGATTAGCAACAAAAAGTGAATGTGTTTCACTGATTCCAAACGACTGGTTCCAAGTGATGTGGGCTACTGTCACTTTGAGGGTTACGATCCCCAACGTTAGTGACGTGTCCGAGCCATTGACACTTTTGGCCGCATAGATTGGTTAGAATTTTCAACGTGTTCCCCCAACTACTGTAGGCCAAATTGTGAGAAGTATGCCATCTGCCATGCATATATATATATAACAATATCACATATGTCATACTAAATACATACATGAATATGTATTATGTTTGCTTTTGATTAGAGATGAATGTGACAGGCTACATGTTTTCCTTGACTCAAATGTGAAGTCGGGTGCTCGAGTCCAATCCCGTTTGTTTGGATTTCCCTATTTCTTGTACCTTCCAGAATGAATAGAGTTAGATACAGTAGCACATAGTCGCACCCTTCACTACATGACGACTGTGCTGAAACTATGCTGAGATGTTTGATGGATTTCGGATTTCTGATGCCGATTCAGGAAGCAAGCTTCAGTCGTAAAGACATATATGTTGGATCATGGAGTTACTTTTGAAATGGGATCCGGCCTGAACATACACCTGAACCAGGATTTAGATACTTGGTTGTTCGGAAGATTTGCAGGAGCCGCTCTTGATGACAGATCGAACGAATATCATTTGAATATCAAGGAAATGCTGTCAATGCTCGATTTGTAATTACACATATGGATGTCCTTAGTTTTCATCCTTCCGGCATCTGTACAGCTTGGAGGCTTTTTGATGGCAATGAGGCCATTGGCTACCAAAATTTGAGCAGACTTTGCCGAAAATCCAGGTAAGGTTTGATCTTATTCAGAATAACTTATTCAACAAATATAGATACATAAATATGTATATGATACACCTAATGACTTTCTTTGGGCTTGCATTTTTTTTGTGAAATTTACCGGGAAAAGGGTGGATTTAGCAGCCTGCTTTTGGTTGGCGGATATCCTGTAGATTCCTTAATCCAACTCCGGGAACGAAGGTCAATTGGGACCTGGAAGTGTATTTCCCATAGGAGAGTACAATCGACCTGGCTGAAATCTGCAAACTAAGCCATTGCTGGCATACAATTGTGCATTATATATATTATATTACATTATATCTATATATTATGTATATACATATATTTACTAATACAGATTGTATATACAGCACATGAAATGACAAGTATGTAGACTGAATGGACCAGGAAATGTCCGACTGTCGCGGTTGTGCTACCTATCCCTGAGGCCCAACGCTCTTGAGTCCACGGGTGCCAATGGTTGGAGGACACAGGAACACGTCGGACAGGGACGGACTCCAGCGACGAAAACACATGGTTTTCAATAGATATAGTAACCCCCAAAAGATTAGGTTTTATCTAATGGAACATGAGTTTTGTGAGGGTTACTAGATCAAATCACATCTAATCAAAGTTTTGTAACTATTTCCCCAACCTGCCAGGTGAGGGTCTCTAGTTTTGATTAGAGTTGCTTTCTCCTCCTTGTCCTTGTCCTTCTCCTCAACCGCGACCGCGAGCGCCAGATCTCAGTGGGCACTGCCAGATAAGAATGCCAGAATAGAATGTTAGATAGAATGGCAGAATAGATGCCAGATAGAATGCCAGAAAGAATGTCAGAGTATATGCTAGAAAAATGTCAGATAGAATGTCAGAATATCTATACATAATAAATATATATAAATATAAATATATATGTAATATATATATATATACCCAATATTTACTATGTCAGAATAATGTGGCAGGGTGGGGATCACTCGAAGAAAGTAATTGAGTACGATCAATGACTTTTCTGCATCTTGTTTGGAGTTATTAAATGTTATTAACTATAAACTTGGCAACTCGGGTGGAATTGGCTTGACTGATGCAGAGCTTCAGAATTTTGAACTTCAGACGTGGCAACGAAGATGGAAGCGGTGCAAGCAAAGTACATACCCTGTAGCCAAAATTGTGTATTTCAACATCCCAACAAAATCTTCTCTGCTCATTCTAGAGAGATTCATCCGAGTACCAGGGTGCAAACAACCCCTATTGCTCAAACATGTTTAGTTTCCGCACCAAAACTGAGGTACTGATCCACAATTCATTCGATCAGTGCTTTTCAATTGGTTTGAAACATGTTGAGCCGTTGAAACTAGCAATCAGGTAGATTTTTTGTAAGATTTGGCTGGTCTAATTTTGAAAAATGACCAGCCGCCCCACGTTCGGCCGCCATCCCGCTGGATAATCCTTGAAGTTCCTTAAAGATGTATTTTCTCATTGAGCCCCCATTTCAATCTATCCACATGGGAAAAACTCCCAACGTTTTCTGAGGTGCAGCCTGCTGCTGCAAAGGCTGCAGGCGCCCCCATGTCGTGGCCATTATGGTGAGAGTTATGATCAACCACTATTTCTGGTTGGTGGTTTGAAATTTGTATCTCTGCAGGTTATGGCCAGTTTATGGCGATATAAGAGAAGTGAGAATATATTGGTAAGAATATACGTGGGAATATAATGTATGATATCACCCATTTTTTGGGAGGTTGTGATACAGTGGTTCAAACCAGCTGAGGACTGAACCAGCCAAACAGGTGTGCATAGAACCAACCCGTCTCTGGTTATATAAGAGGGATAGAAATAACATGTTTGTACGCTGGTGATATAATTGCGATATAATGGTGATACCATCGGGTGATATGATGGTGATATATATATATATATATAATGGGATATGAAAATGAGATTCATTTTTATCGGATGTACAATTTTCATGGGGATGATTTTAAGGGTTTCTAGCCATTTTGTTTGCAGAAAATGAGATTTTTTATTGGGATATCATTGGATGCACCATCCATTTGATGACTCGGTTTGTCGTTCATCAAGGATTTACCCAGGCACCAACCGGGCATCGCCGTTTCGCCCATCACCAAATTTGGTTTGAGGTTTCGATGGGTTTCGGAATTATTGCGGGTATACGGTATATAGGATATATAGGTGTTTTGCCTTTACGGTTTTTCCCCAGGTGTTCTCGTGAAATTCAGGGCTTAGGGCTTTGGGATTTAGGTTTTAACGGCTTTAGGGCTCAACTGCTTCGGAATTTAGGCTTTACTAAACACAAGGCTATCCATGTACTTTTTTTCATACACCCAAAATGGGTCCAAATGGGGGTTGGTTGCTGAATTTGGATGAATTTGAGTAAACACCTGCAATAATTCCCAGCCATCCTCTCAGATTTGTAGTATGTTTAGGGGGATAACGGTACTTTATATACATAATCATTAGAAGTTAAACTTTCAGGGCAGTGGGAACCACCCAGGTGTGTATTGATTAGCACGGCCAGAGATATTGAGGTGGTTTTGTCCTCGTTCACCAAGGTTAGCCCATGCTTAGGGAACGTTAGTTTTCACCTATTCCTGGATCGTCCAAAAAATGATGAACATCGGTCCAGCTTTTTGGATTCCGGCCAAGGAGACGCGGCAAATGCTGTTGAGAACTACTTGGATCATCCCACTATTCGCCCCCATTTCGTGGATTATTCTATTTGCAATGTTCCATGTATACATGGGTGAACTAAGCCCAGTTCCATCCTGTTACTAAAGACGAGCACGAGTCGTGGGATGATCCGAACACTGTAAAAACAGCACTCAAAACTTGATCCATGTTCATGTGCCTTCCCTGATGGATGCTCATGCAAGAAGGTCGAAGCATTCCAGTCCGACAAGTTCCTCGTGGGCGATGATTGTGCGGCCTGGGGAATGGGGATATTGATGATCTTGATGATCATGATGATCATGATGATCATGAGGTCCAGGTTGAAGTGTTGGAGTGTTGAGGAGGGTGAACCTTCAACCCGGACATGTCCCTTGCCATTAATTATATTAATTGGCTGATGAATCGATTGACTAACATCTATTTAAATCTATTTAAATCTATAAAAAACAACCAATCTTGAGATGTCTTGAGTATATTATACGAGGCCGACCATCAAAAAACCCTTCTTTTCTTCCCAGCCAGAAACCGCCACAGTTTCCACCGGTTCATTCCGTTGTTGGAGCTTTTGCTGAGATCCCCAGCCGGTTGATATACCCTTTGTTGTTCTTCCTCTACTCACTATGTTTGGGTGAAATTTCTCATAATTCAACATGTTGGCCATGTCAAATCAATTTGTTTGTCCCGATCTTCTTTGATTAGTTTCCCATGTTTGATAGATGAAATTCATTGATTTTATTCCTGGCGTAATCCCGAATTCGCATCTAAATTATGTGAATGCAGTGTGCCATGCAGAGTGCCAGGAAGGGTGCCATGAAAGAAAAGATGGAAAAGAAAGAAAAGAAAGAGCAGGAAGAAAAGATAGAAAAAAGAGAAAGGAGAAGAAGGAAAAGAAACAAATAAAGGACAAAAGGTGGAAAAGGAATATTAGGGAGACAGCCAAAACAACCCCAGCTCGGTGCCAGGCATGGCTGAGGAAACATTAGCATTTCCAGCTGCAACCAGAAGCACCTCCAGCACGAGCACAGCCACCACAAGCACCTGTTGCCCTGGCCCCAAGGAGGTGGACATGAAAGATCACAGGGCCAGAAAAGAAATTGCGAGAAACGTGATGCAATTCCAGTACCTAGTAGGATATGGGCCAGGAACAGGAGGTTTTTTTTAGTTTCCTACACCAATCCAGAAACAGCATCCAGGGCATTGTGGGCTTGGGCTGGGGTGGAAGGACCAGGAACAAGGGGACATCCTTTTAGTTTTCTATTAACAGCATGCAGGGCATTGTGGGTTTTGGCTGTGGTGGAATGGTCAGCGAGGAGCTGAAAAAGACAAAAAAAAAAAAGCTCCCCTTCCACAAGCACCGCCACTGCCAGAACAAGCAGAGGCAAAAGGGCACAATCTTTACAAGAAGCTTTTTGGCCCAGGGGAGAAGGTAGAACCAGTCCCACTCGTACCAAAGCAAGGAGATGGCAGCACGGGCTTTATACATGTGGGCCAAGCCACAAAGAGCCCTCACCATGCAAGGTTTCCTTCTCAAGCAAACAGACCCTGAGGCTGAGGAGGACAAGTTCATTTTCAGGTGAGGCAAATGAGGCATGTGTATGCCGAATGGCTGCAAAAGCAGCTGACGCCTGACCCCCTCCAGCGGATCAAGGAAAGTGCTGCAAGCAGTGCGGTCACAGCAAGTAGCCTGTGAATACATGAGGGGGGCGGTGAAGATGTTTTTCTGCCCCTTCACCACGCCCATTGGGTGCCAGCTTGGGCCCCAACTTTTCATGGGTGTATTGGAGTAGGCCCTGGCTGCCAAGGAAGCCTATGAAGGGTTTGCCCAGCCTTACACAGATGTGGCCAGCCACGGGCGGCACCTAGACACCACCACCGTTGGTTGTCTTCAGGGATTTGATGGCCCAGGACCCACCAGAAGAGGAGTAGTAAGAAGTGAGTTGATCAGCCAAGAGGGGCGGCTTTCACCTGGAAACATGATTCTTTCCATCAAATCGAATACACAATATTAAGGGTTGGGGGTATGGAAGTTCACGTCTTGGAAAAGAGATGAAATAAGGTGTGATGGGATGAGATGGCAGTGGAGGAGGTAATGTGGGATGAAATGAACTTAAATGGGATGAGATGTGGTGGCATGGAAGGAGATGGCATGAGAGGTGAGATGAGCGGAGATGGCATGGGTTGAGATGGGGTGGCGTGAGACAGGGTGAAAGCAGCTGCCAGCGTGTTTTTAGACATGCTTTGGTTTTGGAAATTCAAGAGCCATGTAGGACACACAGTTTGAGATATGGTGCAAGCTAGTTGAAGGCTGAAGGATGGGTTTGTTGTATGCTGAAATCATTTGCTGAAATTTGAAAATTGCAAGGATATACAATTCATCATCCAGCAGTAAATCTGTTGCACAACCGGCTTAGTGTGAAATGTGTGTAATTATATATAATTATATACATAGTTCTTTATTTCTTATATTTGTATTAAGTCAGGTATCATGGAAGCAACAAATACATTAAATACATAGAAAATATGTAAGAACAGGTATTATCAGAATTTAGGTGTTCGTGTCGGTCACCATCACTGAGGTTGGCTCCGTGGCGGCTCCGCCCGGCGCCCCGCGACGCATGGCGATGGGACAAGGCGTTTCACATGGGGTTCCCATAGAAGGAGATGGTCATCCACCCATTCCACTGGAACCAAAAAGTGTTCAACATGGAGAATTAAACAGACAAACATGGGGATTGAATGGGATTTATATAGTTGATTTAAGTGACAGCTAAGTTGTGGCACATCATTTGTTTAACCATAGTTTTTATGGGATATAATGAACTACTCCTATGTTGGTGGGTTTACAAATGTTGTTTTCATGAACTGGGGGGCCTCACCTTGTAGGGTTTCATATGCTTTACCATGTTGCGTGATAACCATAACCCCTTTACCATGTTTTGACTATGGCACATATCATGAAAAATGTCTTTCTTCGCTTCCAAAAAAAGATCCTCTGGAGCCCAAGATGAAACAAAAAACCTACCCCTGATAATCAATCCATTCCCCCCACTACATACCCCCCATTAGAGCGATCCCAGGTCATGAATAGAGCCAAAACACTCCACCACCGGGTGTAGACTGGTGTCGATTCTGAGGGGGAACGGATTACAAGGGATGACTTGATACATCCACCATTTGGGGAACCTATAAAGCAATAGGAATGTGTTTTTTCCCCAAACAAAGAGTGTGGCCACACTGAGGGTTCTTACGGTAACTGTTAAGGCCCGGTGTTCAATCGAGGTGGTATCCTTAGCGTTTGGCATTTGTCCTTTAAAAATAGCTTTTCGACTGCGCAGGCTCGCAGAAAACGAGAAATCTCGCACAGACATCTTGCCAAGACACTTCTTGTAGGGAGCTTGTACAGAGATCTTGCCAAGAGACCCCTTCTGGAATTTTTGGAGATCTTGTCCGGGAGATCTTGCCAACAGAGCTCTTATAGAGTTCTTGCACGAGATCTTGCCAGAGGACCTCTGATAGAGATCTTGTACAGAGGCCTGGTGAAGAGAGCAGCGATCCTGCTCAGACATCTTTTAAAGCGATCTTCTACAGAGATCTTTCCAGGATACCTCTGATGGAGATCTTGTACAGAGGCATTGCATAGAGATCTGTTGCAGAGATCTTGCCAAGAGGTCTTTTACATAAATCTTCCCAAGAGAATTCTTCTAGAGAGCTTGTACAGAGGTTTCATACAGAGATCTTGTACAGAGACCTTGCCAGGACACCTCTTATGGAGACCTTGGTACAAAGACATTGCATAGAGATCTGATGCAGAGGTCTTGCCAAGAGGTCTCTTACATGAATCTTGCCAAGAGAGCTTTTATAGCGAGCTTGTACAGAGATCTAATAAAGAGATCTTGCCAAGAGATCTCTTATAGAGATCTTGTCCGGGAGGTCTTGCCAACAGAGCTCTTATAGAGATCTTGTACAGAGATCTTGCCAGGAGACCTCTTTTGGAGATCTTGTACGCAGACCTGGTGAAGAGAGCAAAGGTCTTGCTCGGAGATCATTATTACATAGTTTGAACAAAGATCTTGCTTTGAGATCCCTTACACAGATAGATCTTCTGTGGAGATCTCCTATAGACACCTTGTACAGCGCTTTGTTACTGGGTAAACTTAGGTTGTCGCGAGAATTCGTTTTGGGGTTTTATGAGTCTTATGTTATTTTGGACCATTTCGCTTTGGGATACCGTATTTTGGAGGTCTATCTTGTATCATGATTGTTGTTAGCAATTCTCAGATGTGCGTTCATGATTCAATCATTTTTTTATGCTACACCCCAAGAACTGACCCTAAGTTCACTGGATCAGTTTAAGGGAAAAATTTCAGAAATCATTTGAAAGCCATGGTTTCATGTAATTAGGACTTCCCTTAATCCAATCCATTGATACCTTCCAGAATCCTTCGATCACTGGTCGCCAGGCGAATCTTGTGGCCTTCGTTCCTCCAAGAGCCAGGATGTTCGCCCCGCCACTGCCCGCGCCGCCAGCCCCGCGCAGCCACGGCAGGTCTCGCCGCGGCCGGCACCCCGCCGGACCGGGCAGAGCCTCACAGCGCCCGCCAGCAGACCTGCGGCCGTAACCCCCACCCCGCCAGCGCCGGCTGCCCGGGGCGTGCGGGAAAGGAGTTTGGGCAGCAGCCAACGCAATTTGGCGAGACCTCAAACTGCCAGGGCCGCCAGACCTCAGAGTGCTAGGAGAACTCAAACTCCGACGGTAAGACCACAGAGTGTGAGAAGATCTGATGGTGACACGCTGGGTCGAAGCCAATCTCGAGTTTCACCAAGGCACCAGCGGGTTGAGTTGCAGTGAAGGGTTGAGATTGGTGGGTATAGCTATGGTTGGGTTTGTTGCCTGCTGTGCGTTGTTTATGTGAATTAAACTCTTCGCATTCATCCACCTACATAATACACGTGTGGCACGTGTTTACACAGACAGACTTCCAGAAAGCATCGCCCAAAGATCAAATATGCAGCCAAAAGATGCCAAAAGCATACACGGGCCAATAGTGCATGATATGAGCAGGTAATACCAATAGGCGACCATTTTTTCGTTGAAAAAATCTTGGAAATCATCTATCCGTGCAGTCCCATTGATGTACCTAGCTGGGTGGGTTGTCATTTAGAATTTGACAAGTGATAGACAACATGGGTAATAGTGCAAACATGTGATACCATATCAAAAAGACAATCTAAAATTCATGTGTCAATTTCCGTTGTTAACTTTCCATGTTGGTTGTTTGTTTGTTTCACAACGCTTCAAATAGTTTGTTTCCAAATATTTTCATTTTTTTTGGAATCCTACAGTATCTGGCATGATCATCCCATTTCACACTGTTGTAAATAGATATGAATTTAGCTGTATAATATAAGTAGGTTTTAGAGGAGAGATTAAAAACAAAGCAACTAGTTTTCTTGGAACTGCAACGATGGTTCAGTACCTCCACTTTTTTGCTGAATGTTTTAGCCATTTCGCGCGCAAAACATTTCGACACGCAACTCTGTTCGTAATCATATATAATGATCCAAGGAAAGCATGGTCATATGTGTGTTACCTCTTTTTTCCCCTCAGGTTTAAAACATGGCACACAATCCACCATGTATCATTTAATCCTTTCCCCCTAATACTAAACGCCCTCCCCTCAATAAACACCTCAGGTAGTTTTTGGGGGAGGTTTAGTAACTTTAGTAATACAGGATGGTGCCCCCCAGTTATAAGTTGGTTTATAAACCCATCTAAATATAGTTATATCTGCCATAAACCATAGGTTTTATGGGCACCACCTTGTAGGGGGAAGGGATTGTGGATGAGTTTCCCAACGACCTCCATCCAGGCCTACAAGGTCCTCGAGCACGACGCTGTCGTCCCGTGGGACCCTTGGGACCTCCAAGAGCGCCAGCCAGTTGATGCGCACTGGTAGCGGGACACCAGGACGGCGTCCCAAAAACGTGGTACGTGTGGGGGTGATGTTGTGGGGGTTGGGTGTGTTTCTGGTTGGTGGTTTGGAACATGAATTTTATTTTCCCAAAAAATTAGGAATAATAATCCCAACTGACTTTCATATTTTTCAAAGGGGTAGGTATACCACCAACGAGGTTTTGTTTTTTGTTCTGTGCCAAGATTTTTCAAGATGGGTTTGAGGTGACTTCAAAGGTTCAAATACGGGTGATTTGAGGATGTTCAAGTTGGATTTCTGGTAGCCAGAAGATTTGGAGTTTACACATGTTTACACCAGTCTTGGCTAATTCTCTGATGGTGTAATATATCAGTGGGGTTAGACATGCGAAAAAAAAAATGATGCTGTTGATGCGTGAACGTGTGCGGTTAATTAGGTAATGAAATCTTCAGGGGGTACCCCATGGTACCCCCAAATCATCAATTTTAGTAGGATTTTCCATTGTAAACCAACCATTTTGGGGTACCCCCATTTCAGGAAGACTCCAAATTGAGCATGACAAAGATTTCATGAGGTTTCTTATGTGATTAGTTCCTCCAGAGAGTTACGGATTTGTTTTGTCAGAAAAAGCTACGGTTTGGAGTTGTTCAAAGATCATTTCATTGATACAACCAGTGCAAAGCGATGACTGGTGGTTGTTTGACATCCACCCTAGAAACAAACCGAAGTTGATCAGATAATTGGCAAAATGGTTTTCCAAGAATAGAGACGGACAAATGTTATTATGTTAATTATTGGGCTGAAATGTTCTTTATTCTCAGTATCATTTCCCAATGAGTATGACTAACAACACGGTTTTCCAATGCTGTGCGCATAGATGATTTTCCCATGGAAACCTCCATGCAGCACTTGGGGATATCCTTATTTTTTTCTATGTTTGATGACACCGGACAAGTCACGATGATCAATCATGTTAAACCCATTACAATATCATTACAAGCATTACAAGACATCATTTTCACCATTTCTAACCATCATTTCTTACCAACCATGGTTTTTGTGGCCAACGTGGCAAAAATCCGAGCCGTTTCTTTCAGGATCTCCTGCAACAGCCATGGACTTGCCATCGGTGGAGGACATCCACCAGAACGGGAACGGGATAGCACTTATAAGTATGAACGTACTTACAAGATCTTATAAGTATGAAATTGTATGAATGTATATTATATATATATGAATATTATATATATAATTATATATTTAATTATATATATATACATTATGAGTATTGTTCATGGTATCGTACTGTATTATATATGTTCTATATTATATTTTGTTCTATGATGCTTTCTATATATGTCATTATATGTAAATTACATATGCATGTACACATACTTAGATACACATATACACATGTACACATATACATACAGATATGCAAACATATAGGCCTACATTCTACTTGCCTGCCTGTCTGCCTGCCCACCGAGCTACCTGCATACATAAACATACATACTGTAATACATACACACCTACATGCATGCATGCAAGCATACATGCATACATACCTAAAGATATACACATATGTATGCTATCCAATGGGTATATCATGAAGATTCATGAAGTGGGTTGGACAGAAGCTTTGCATGTATCACTGATCTAGTCTCTTGCCCATGCCAAAGTGATGGATCTGTGCAGGAATTGAAACGAATGATCGCAGAAACTAAGAAGGAGGTGCTTGGAAGTGCTGCTTGGGGGAGTCTCAGTGTATAGTGTAAGTATCACGTGACTCAAATTTTCAGAAACTACCAGCAATCAGAGACATGTTGGCATGATAAATCCTTTGCGTGCCTTGTGAGCAGCCAGCAGTCACCAGTTTCTCCAGGTGCGCGAAATCCGTGCCGCGGGGCCCTGAGATCACTGTTACGACACCAGAAAACATCCAGGCCTTTGACCCACCAGGTATGTAGCTGGCAGGTTATGATATCCAGATTATAAAATGACACTACCAGATGTTAATATCCAGATTATGATAATTATATCATCCAGATTTATTGAATGATGATACAAAAGTATACAAAAGTATTAGATATATAATTATAACTGATGATGTTCTGATGATGTGCTGATTTGTAATAAAAGTCGGTATGTTCTGATGATGTTCTGAGACTATATATATTATGTTATAAGTTACCCTTGTCCGTATGGCCCTGTTAGTGCTCATGATGCCAATGTTAGTGCAGTGGTATATGCTGCCGCCAAGCTCTGCACGTTAAATGGCCCCCCTGGATAGCCTGGGTGTTTTTATGGCTTTGATTCATTTTAGAGGCCCCTTAGGCCTTGCTGGGGGGTACTTAATGTGGGGGCCTGGAATCACCTGGTTTGTCCTGAAGATAGTTGACAACCAGACGAGCTAAACTCCACTGATGCCACGAAGGTTTATGATGGTATTGTGTCAATTCATCATCGATTGATCATACAAAAAATCACCAATAATATTCCCTCAATCATCATGAATCCTTAGTTATCATCAATCATCATTAATCAATCATCATTATATAATCATCATTCATCATCATTAATCATCATAGGACTCCTAGGTTGAATCATGGTTTTGGGACCCCCAAACGGTGCGAAATCTGGACTCTGACACGGACCTGAAGAGAAGACCCAGAGATCTATCATCCAGGATGGGGATTCCCATGAGAAAACGCACTTCAGTTGGGATTTCGTGCGAATCACATGGACGAAAACATACGAACACAGGGATTTGTATGGATTTGTTTTGGTGGAATCGCAACGGATTTCCATGGATTTTCATGGTGGTTCAAGCGGTTTGTTTCGCCATGGGATATTTCAGAAGCAGATCATTTTACCATAATTGACCGCTCTCGGGCAAGCGGATGGAAACGAGGTGGAATCAAAGACCAAGTGGCAGGTGAATCGAGAGGTGCGATGGGGCCAGAACAACTGAGGCTGCTTTCCAGCAGAATTCCATCGCGTTTGGGGGATAAATTTACAGATTTTTGGGACCGTAACGGGGATGTGGAATAACCAGGAGGAAGGGATTAGAACTGCAGTTGGGTAATAAACCACCTGATGGGTATTCAGTAGATGGTTCTTCTGGGTCACATCCCATGGAATTCCCGCCACAAAATAGCTGGGATTGATGGAAAAACGATGAAAAATTGATGGAAAAAACAATACTAAACCATACTAAACCATCCCCCCAAATCACGATCTCTCGTTGCCAGGAGCGGAAGGACAAGCTGGCGCAGACGATTGCCACCCAAAGTGAGCTTCGCGAATGGCGCTGGAAGCAGGCGCGCTGTGTGTTTCGGTGTTTGAAGTGCCGGATGTTTTTTTGCGACCTCCTCACCATAAAACGATTTCATATGATGTTCAGAATTGGAAATGAGAAAATCTGCAGGAAACCCTTACATATGGCAAGATTGTACATGACATATATCTGATGGTAAAAAGTAAAAACCATGCTTTCTTATAGCCTTAAACCAATCCATTGAATATCATTTAATGATGATTCGTGATGGAAAAGCACCCCAGTTGACGGTCCCTGCTGGAAGTCTGGGAGATGAGATACAGCTGGAAAGCCCGGGGCTTCTGCCAGGGGATCTCCAGTGTGTTTGTTGTGGGATGAAGCAAGTTGACAAAAGCTCCAGGTTGAAAAACGGTGTGATCTGAGGGGTCCACAATTTTTTGAGCTGCTGGAAGAAAGTCATGAACGAAAGGATATTTGTTGAGTAATTATGGCATTATATGGCCCCATTATGGCCTATGGATGCCTATGGCACGAATGATATTTCCACAAGCTTCCACATAGTTCTTATTAATTCTTCCAATTCGGAGGCCAAAAAAACTGTCGGTTTCGTGGTCAGATCTTCCTAGAGCTCTGGCCGTTGGACGACCGCTCGACGAAAACAACTGAGGATGATGTTTGACCTTGCTCAATGGTTGACAACGGCGCGATTTTCGGGTCCCTATCTCTATATATATATATATATCTGGGAGATACACAGTCTT